CACAATTATCTTGTTCATGAAATTTACTGATTATAGCGTCAAAGCAGCTCCGACAAAGTTGATATCCAGGCACAACATTTGGAAAATTAATTCTCAATTGCTTTGCCATGTCTAATGTTATTATTATGACTCCCTGAAAAGAAAAGAACTATTTGATTTTAGTAATTACCTATGAATATGAAAATTATTTGTACTTATTTCCATATACATTGCATAACCAGATCAGCTTTTTTTCAAACTTTTATAAACTAGTAGATTTTAATTTCATTATTCAAAAAAGATTTTACAATAATTTTTTATCAACAATATTTACCTTTGATTGCTTTTTTTTTTGATTTATGCTTGTCCAATAAATTGCAACATTTTGTGTGCTTCTTTTCAAAGTGTGTACCAAAAATCTTTTCATGATGAAGGCAGATTAATAAAATTTTATCATCTGTTATTCCAGATCTCCAAATAAATTCTTCTCTGGCATCTTCTCTATAGCAATCAAATTTCTTTAAATCAATCTTTCTACAATAACTTAGTTTATAACAAGTATCATTTAATTTTTTTCCAAAATCACATGAATCCATTCTTACTGTAACACCAAAAACATTTTGAGATTAATTTAAAAATGAGAAACCAATAGTAATTAATTCAATGAAAGCAACTTAAGCAATCACCATGGTAATACAAAACTAAATAGTGATTGATTTCTTTTATCTTACTTTGACAAAAAGAAAGTTTCCATTTCACAAAGTTTAATTATAATCAATTTGTTAATGTTAAAAATGTTAATGATGACTTTAATAGGTAACAAATTTCTTCTATACTAGTGTAATGACAGGATGTTTTTTGTTACTGTAAATAGTTCTTATTTAATAAAATAACTTGCTGTTAACATTTTAGAATTAGCAAATATCAAATAAAATAATGATTTTGAAAAATTGATAAATTTCTTTTTTATTGATATAATGTTATGACAGGATGTTTTTTTCTGTTGGAAGTTAATTAAACAACTTGCTGTTACCATTTTAGCATTAAAATATATTAATCTTTTTTAATTAAAATTTTAAATTATACAAAATAAAATTCTGTTAAAACCATTATTTTAGACTGTTTTTAATCTTATACATGCAAATCAAAATTCTTATAGACATTAACTTTCTTAAAACATTTTAAGAAAGATCATTGAACATAGAATGAGCAAAAATTAAATTAAACAAATATAAATCACAAAAGATATGTTTAACATAGTTAAAAATAAAAAAAATAAAAAAAATTTTTGAAGACAATAGTTTCATGTGTTAAAATGTGTTAAAAAAAAAAAAAAAATTTTTTTTTGAGGAAATAAGTGGGGCATGGTCCCTGGTGCCCCAGCCCCATGGACCTTCTAGTCGTCTGACCTGAAACTATTTTAAAGCATGTTCATTAGGGCTACACAAATGCTGAAAGTTTCAAAGCTCCAACTAGTCTGGAAGATACTGAAAAATCCATCTCAAGATTCCGGTCAAAAAAGTGGGGCACATCCCCCCAGCCCCCTCCCCTAGTGTCTTGGGCCCTTTTTTAATTTTAAAATGCACATTTATTGACACTACATAAATACAAAAATTTTCATCGTTCCAGCTAGTCTGAAAGGTAGTGAAAAATGTATGGCAAGATTCTGCTACAAAATAGTGGGGCCTGTGCCCCGTTAACCATATATAGAAATCCATATACTTGCAGATCAAAATTTTTATGTTTTCTGAAAGATCATTAAACATAGAATAATGTGTACAATTTTTTTTTTTTATATCATCAAGGCCACATGGTTTTCTTGAGCATCAAAATCAGGTATATAAAAAATTGCCTAAATTTATTTAAATTGATAAAAACAAGTACTTAAAAAAATTTTTTTTACATTTCTGATTATTTCATTGGATTCTTCGACCCTGAAAATAGCCAGGTACAAATTTTTAAGTTAAAAGATCAAATATTTTTAAAGCTATGTGACTTGGAACCTTTAAACAAAGGTCACACTTCTGAGGGGACAAGAGGGGCCTGGCCAAGATCAGTTAAAAGTAAAATGATCATATTTCATGATCCTCTTGGAGCTAGAAGCTAAAATTTTCAAGGATTTTTTGTTTTACTAAGTACTCTCAACTGTATAAAAATCAGCAAAATCTGAGATGTATGGTGACATGGCCTGGCTCAATTGACATGGAATTACTCGGCAGTGATTTGCAATATAGCAGAAATGTATCTGCAAATATCTGTTTCACCGGATGATAAAAAGTTTTGAAGATTTTTATGGAGAGTTCTAGATCAAGGCAGAGACCCAGACATTTTCAAATTCCAAAGAGTAGTGTTCGGTATTAATTCATCACAAGAAAATGCAAAGAAACAGATTAAATAGTATCCTTAAGCTGCAGAAACAATTCTGACTCTAATGAAAAAAATGACTCTAATGACTAATGTAAAAACTGGCATTGAGTTATACAAACAGTTAAATACAGTTTGGACTTTGGAATGCATGCAAATAGTTATCCAACTCCATAATATTATTGAAAAAAGTTCTAAAGACAGATCTCAAGAATTAGATTTAGACTAAAGTGAATTGCTGTCAATCAAAACCTGTCAATCAAAACCTTAGGGATTATGTGGTGATCAAAAGAAGATGTTTTTGCATTTAAATATCAAGCATCTGATGAAAATTTTGTATTCACGAAAAAAAACTTCTTAAGAAAGATAGCATATAAATATGCATGTTCTGCAAGTACCTTTAACAAAAGTACAATTTAACAAAAAGTTATTACTTTCTAAAATATACTTCTTTATTTAATTTTTTTGCAAACTAATATTTATATATTAAAATGAATAAATAAAAAAATAAAAATAAGTTAATATTAGATAATTTAAAAAAATTTCATAACAAATTTATTTTGCTGTATAAGCTGCAGTACATCATAGCTATAATTATGTTATTTGATCCTCTTGGACTTTTATCACCCTACACAATAAAAGCAATAATGCTCTTAGAGCTGAACAGTGGGATTAGTTGGGATGAATTGTTAGATCCTAAACAATCTTAACTAGCATCTAAAGGGTTTACAAGACATAAAAATACCAATATGTATTCAAAAACAAAATTAAAGTTTAGTGATACTTTCATTACACACATTTACAGATGTTTCCAAAATTGCATATGAAGCTGTAACTTATGCAAAATGTCAATATAAAAATGGCAAAGTTTCTATTAACCTTATTGCAGCTAAATTGAGAGTGGCATCTTTATCTGCATTAAGCATCCCACGATTAGAACTACTTGGTGCAGTTTTAGGATTACGATTAAGTCACAGTATTGCAGCAACTTGTAAAATTGATATTAAAGAAGTTACATTCTTGACAGACAGCATGAATGTGATATGGTGGATACATAACCAGAGTAAAAAAAGAATCAGAGAAATTCATACCGAAACAACCCAAGTCAGTGGAGATATGTACCAACTAAGGAAAACCCTGCTGATGACATAACAAGAGGTCTCGCAGTGTCAGAACTAAAAGAACAAATTAGATGGTGGAAAGGACCAGATTTTCTGGCTGATCAAAACAAAAATAGCCGGAAAGAAGACTATTAAAACTTGATAACAATGATGTAGAAGTAAAAAGTATAAAGCGTAAAAAGTATAAAGTGTAAAAAGTATAAAAAATAAATAAAGTAGAAGTATAAAGCAATTTTGACCTTGTTAGTGCTTGTAAAAGATAACATCTGGAGACTGCAACCACAGAGCTATTCAAATTGGATTTGACTTAATAGAGTGCTTGCATGTTTTATCATTAACTGTACGTCATCAAAAGTAAGCAGATTTGCAGGAAAATTAATGCCAGAAGAGATCATTGATGCAGAAAATGAACTTATAAAATTTGCTCAAAAAGAGAATTTCGAAGAAGAGTAAAAAGAGCTGTCAGCCAAAAAACCAATGACTAGTAAAATACTATGTTTAAGACCAAAAGTAAATGAGGATGGTGTATTACAATGTGATGGGCATTTAAAATATGCAGAATTTTGCCCTACAATGCCAGGTTCCCTATTATTCTTCTAAGAAAAAGCTGGATAGCGAAACTTATAGTGAAGAAGAAGGAAAACATGTATTATCACGAAGAGGGAAAACATGTATGTTGAACTAATCAGACCATGGCAATGCTATCTAGTCGGTATTGGGTATTACAAGAAAGAGAAGAAATATGTGAGTGGGAAAATCAATGCCAGCATTGCAAAAGGCGAAAAGCTAAAGTCAGGAATCAGATTAAGGCACCATTACCAAAGGTCAGATTAAAAATGCCTTTGCACGCATTTTCAAAAGCAGCTGTTGATTTTAGTGGTCTATATATAACAGTGCAAGGAAAAGGTATGAAAAGAGCTAAATGTTGTTTGTGCTTGTTTACTGCCTTTACATCACAAGCTGTGCATTTGGAAATTGATTTGTTAATCTGCATTTGTTAAATAGCATTGGTTAATCGGCGTGGCCTTCCTAAGGAAATAATTTTATTGTCGTTTTGTAGTTGACAAAAGTCTTAAGTTTGTTTTGTTAAGTTTTGTAGATTTATGTAAAGAATCTTATAATATATATATACTATATTTAATTTATTTTAGTACATTCTTGGCACTAAGTAATACAATATTAATAAATAAGTTAACTAACAAGTGAAGTCATTAGTGTTTCTGGGAAACTTAAAATAGTTCTCTACACTAAAAGATGGTGATGCTGACACCTTTTAGTGTGGGATCACATCATTTCAAATACATTAATGTTAATATTAAAATACAATCACAAGTTGCTTTCTAGCAGCTTGGAAGATGCCAATTACAATACCCTTCCCAGATTAAAGATGAGGCTTTGGTTATAATTAACAATCTTGTCTTCCATGATGCTATTGATCTTTTATATTACATTTAATTTATTGTAAATTTTATTTTCATTTGTTTTGTTTCATCACTCATAGTTTAATTTTTCTTAAGTTTTTGTTTTCCTTTTAAGGTAAAGTGTTGGCTCATGATGAAGTTTGGCTCCATAAAATGAAGCATGAATCAGAAAATTTAAAAAAAGAAAATTTGAAATCACAACCACTTGATTCAATGACATTAAATAAGATGAGAGAGTTAGGATTAAAACACAAGAAGATAAATGCTCTAATTATAGAACTTACAATGTACACATTATATGCAACTTTAGTATTTTTCATTGGCTATAAGACACGTGAGGGTATTGCTTTTTTTCAAACTCGCAATGTGGGAGAATTATTTAATTTGCAATTGAGGCCAGGTGTTTCATATAATGAGAGTACAGTTTTTAACCAGGTTTGTTTTGTGTAATGATATATATTTTGTAGTTCAACTTTGAAAATAATTTTAAATTTAACTTAATATTAAATTTAATTTTAAATTTAACTTTAAACATTTTAAAGTCTTTTTATCTCATTACTTTTTATAATAAAGTTTTGTATGATTGTTTTATGTTTTAACTCTTGTTGTTCTAACAGGTTTATATGATTGGTTATTTTAACATTAAATTTTTTATGATTGGTTGTTTTAATATAAAGTTTTATATGATTGGTTGTTCTAACATAAGCTTTTATATGATTTGTTGTTTTAACATAAGGTTTTATATGATTGGTTGTTTTAACACAAGGTTTTGTATGATTAATTGTTCGGACAGATAGTTCTGACAAACTTATTGCTCATAAATAATGAACTTAATATTTACTAATGGATGAATTCTAATAGTAATATATAAATTATAATATATAAATAACAAATAAATTGTCTTGTTCTAACTTAATTATTTGTTTTAAGCAGTTTGTAGTTAAATTATTTTTGTATACAAAACTAAAGAATTAGTTATAGGAATGCCTATAATACATTTAAATCTTTTGATAATAGTTCTTTGTTTTTTAAAAAAATTAAAAAATGAACTACTGGCATCAGCAGAAAATGTGTAGAATTTGTAAACAATACAAAAATACCTATATATTTTTAAACATATTGGATAGCCAATGTACTAAATGTATTGTGTTACAAGCCCAATAACCATGGAGGTAGCTAAACAACTACACGACAATTAATTTTCCAAGAAATGTATTTAGCTTATCAACTGAAATATTTCTTTGGATATTATTGCTATCAATTTTTAAGATTAATTATTATACCTATTTGAGTTATCTTATATTATCCATCAATCTCAATGCAAACCAACTGAATTTTTATCCACATCTTTACTGACAATCTTTAGTGTTGATTTGACCCTACTTTATTTGTCAATCAAGATGTGATTTTTTAAGCGGTGTTTTGTTTAGTAAAGCATTTGCAAGAGTTTAACCTTGAGCAAGAGTTGCAAGCAAGCCTTGCTCTATTTACCAAGATGATTATTTATTAGTTGGCATATATCTTTATCCTGAAAAGTTTTATTAAAAAATGTTTTTTAATTGGTTTGCTACAAATGTTTGAGTTATTAGAGTTATTATCTAAAATTGTGCAAGTTATTATCAAGATTTGTTTTAGTACTTGCTTTGTTTTAGTACTTTGCTGTGTTTGTTATTAATAATATAATATTAAAATATAAAATAAACATATTAAAAAGGTGATCTTGGGTTTTAAATAACAAATAATTATCTAATTAAACTAATTTGGTGTGTTACTAATGTAACTTAAATAAGATAGTAACAGTGTGAAATATCCGAAAGTTTTTGGATCCATTAATAATAATTCATATATATCAACACAAAACTTTTTTTTCACTTTTTGTTTGTATAATGGGAGTAAATTGAACTTTTTTTTTTTAAAGCCAATTAGTATAATACAATATTTATTGTACTCAAATTATGAAAAAACATAACAAAAAAATTTCAGATACTAAGAAAAAATAGGCATTTCAAATTTTTACTTTACTATATGATAATTCAATAAGTACTAATATTATACTGTTATATTATTACTAATTTGAAGCTGATAGAAATACAAGAATATACTAGAAGGCTTTTAAAAATACTCAGACATAGTTACATAAATATACTAGACATTTGATTTTCACGCTTAATTTCTATTTTAGGATAAACACGCTATAGAGATATTCCTTTGCCAAGCCATTATGGATGCAAGTGCAACATCTAATGTGAGTGTTGATAGGGAACAAGTAGTAGTCCAAAAAAATTCTGGGCCTCAACAAATAAAATCAGAAATAATATTATTAAAATTTCAAAACACATTGGCTTCTCAATTAGAAATAACATTAAATTTCTTAAAGAAAAAAATACTGAAAATTGTAATTACAAACAAAAAATTGAATTTCCTATGAATGGCAAATGATTATCTAAAAATATTATTTACAAATGCTCACAAAACAACCCTTAGATCTACTGCTGATGGCCTAGTGCTTGAGGGGACCTTTTACAATATTATATATTATTTATAACTGATGATATTTTTACATTTCTTATTTTGATTTGCTAGACAAAAATAGTTTTAATTTTTCAGTTTTATCATCAGATTATAATACTTAGACTTAAAATAAATATCTTTTTTTTTTTTTTTAACATTTTCATTTCTAACAAAGCTGCAAGCAACGACCATTAGAGTTGAAAGTTATTGAAAGAGCAAAGATGAAGTTTATAGAGCAAGATAATGATTGACAGACGACTTAAAAGATATCAAATTCTATGAATCAGGAAAGCAACATGAAGGAAGCATATTCCAAAGAACTGATGCTTGAGGAAAAAAACTAGACAAATAAAATTTTTTGGAGTACTTAGGAACAGTCACAGTAAAAGGATGAGACTTGAATGACAAGTAACAAAAGAATGACTTTTAGTAGTTAGCATAAGAGACGCTAGCTCTTTGGAGCAGTGCCCATTTTAGTATTTATAGAAAAGTGGAAGAGAAGCAATATTACAGCAATGTGATGATGGTTGGAGGTTGGAGGTTGGTTACAAGAGCAGGTCCAACTATGTTTACAATGCCTGTTTGCACCTTGTCTAAAAGTGAAAAGGCATCATTGGATGATCCACCCCATATATGGCAACAAGTATTGTTTGTTATTGCTTACTTGCTCTGGGGCCTAACCACACTGTATTGTTTTGAATTTCGCTTTGCTTTGTTTCTCTTACATCACTCTGCCCTTAGTCCACAGGTTATCTATAAACCAAGGGCATAATTAATTAATTATCATTGTCGAATAGTTTAACATCAAATACTTCTTGAATTTTTTAGAATCGAATTTGTTGTTTTTATGGTATCCAATGTTAGAATTGAATTTTGAATGTTCTAGAACCAAATTGTCAAAGAACTGCTTATAATCAATGAAAGAACTTTTTTTTATATTATGTAGAGCATTATAGATTAATATTTTCATAGATAATATTTTCATTTAATTAAGGATTTTGATTGAATTAAAAAATTAAAACTGAATCTAGAAGATTTAGTTTTAATAATTTAATTTTAAAAAATTTGATTGTAAATCATTCTATCAAAACAAAGAATGGTAATATTCTATTCTAAATGGTTTTGTTTAATAAAAAATTCAATTGTCTCATTCTATTTTTATTTGGTTATAGTATATGACATGTGTCAAATTATCAATAAAACAATCATAAGTTCTGAGAAATGTAAAAGAATTCAATTTCGAATTCAAGTTTTTTCAGTAAGTTAGTTAGGTTATCTTTTATTAAGTTGTGATTTTAAATTTAAATTTAGTGCAATTATTTAAACATTTAGTACATTTATTTAAACATTTAGTACAATTATTTAAACATTTAGTGCAATTATTTAAACATTTAGTGCAGTTATTGTGTTTAACTACAATCTGTAATAAAAATTAAAACAACTTAAGTGAATATCATAAAATGTTTTAAATCAAATTTAACTCATTATTTAATTAATTACACAAGTAAATTTAAAATCTTGACTTAGTTACTACCATAAAAAGTTACTAACATAAAAAAGTAATTAAAATCAAAACCTGAAATTCATGCAAGTACTTCACTATAATTTTTTTCATTAGTCCAAACATAAGTCCAAAATCTTATTTAAAAACTAACAAGAGAAAGAGATATAGGAAGAACATGGGAGTTTGGTGCAGAGTCTGGTGCATCCAAATGAAAAAGAAAGACTAAAATAGAGAAATCAAACTGAGCTATGAGTTCTAGTATGATGAAATTTCTTAAGCAAACCTCTTTCAATTGTTACTACTCCACAGTCCTCTGCTGTATCTCTTAGCCAAATTTTTTTTGGTTTCTGAAACAGAACCAGTTTTAGAGCCAAATGTTTCAGCTGTGACACAAGAGTTTAAACACAATAAAGATTTGGAAAGTGGTAAGGTTTATGACTCAACAAATCAAGAGCAAGCAATTCATTCAAGCAATTTATTTATAAACTGACTGTGCTGAAAGATCTGAGTCAGATATTGCATAGACATTAATTAGATGGAATTTTATGAAAGAATCAAACACGGAAAAATAATTGATTAGGAATATGAGAGGTTGATTACCAAATCTCAAAAATATTGGTATAATTTGTTTTAAAGTTTGATAGATATAATAAACGTTTTAGCCTCAATCAATCTAGCATTTAAAGGTCATCATGAATCACTTGACCTGGACAATAGCAGAAGCAGTGGTAATTTTATAGACTTATTTAAGTTGTTACTCCAATATGATCTGACACTAAAGGAGCATGTGTAACAAATTGCTCATATTTATCTGGGCCATGACATTCAAAATGAATTAATTATATTGATGTCTAAAACAGTTATTGTTGAAATTATATACAGAGTTAAACGAACAAAATACTATGTCTTTTTGCTTGATTACACCAGAGATGCAAGTGTTGAACAATTATAAATAATTTTTCAATAATATAATAAGATTTAGCAATTCCTCTACTAATATATTTTATTGGTTTTATTGCCATTATAGAAACTACAGAAGAGTACAGAACAAAAGAGAAATGGTTTAGATATACAAAATTGTAGAGGACAGATATATGATAATGGGACCAATATGGTAGGCATTAGTAAAGGTGTCAGAACAAGAATACTCAACAATTCAAGAGCATTTTTACGCCACGCAGATGTCATAACTAGAATTTACTTTTAATAAACGCAACTATTTAATCTACAACAGCTAAAACATTTTTTTGGCTTTATTAATAAAATCTATGTGCTCTTCTCAAAGTCAAGCAAACATTGAGAACTTATAAAAACTAAATTGAAAACAACACTAAAACTTTTTTTATAGATTGAAGAGTAGAATAGGAGCAGTAAAAGCTATACTGTTTCAATTTGATAATGTTAGCGAATGCGTAAATGA